TAAATAGAATGAATGACTAGTGTAATTGATGTGAGAGCATCTTGCTGTTTGCACAGCAAGATTAAGGGGCTCTAGGTTCTTTTGTCCAGACTTAGTAAGAGACAAAGCTATAGGGCTGCATAAGATTTCTTTTTTTTTTTTTTTCCTTTACCTCTCTTTTAGGGATCTGTGAGTACCTAAATATGTAGAACTCATTGTTTGATATTTCTTCAGTAGTATCAGAAATCAGAGCTGATACAGTTTGATTGTTCTCTTGATGGTCTAAGGCTGTTTTCATGAAAATATTGTTGGATATGAAGGAAAATGGATGTAGACATAGCTGTGGTTTAGATACCTGATTTTAAGTCTAATGTCCAGTTCAGGTGGAAATTAATGGCTATGAAGTATTCTGTGTATTGGAAAGATTATTGCAAATTATCCCAGGCAAGGAAGAATCAGGAAGAGGAGTGGGGGATTAGGACTGGATGATTTTTACTGGAGTAGCATAGCTAAAGTCTGCTGTGTACTTGCATTTCAGAGCAATGGCTTGATCTAGGTTTAAAAAAGTCATGGGCTCAGTTTAATGTACATTAATGTAGTTTCTAGAGAAGTATGTTACTTTATATAAACTTTTTCTCTTCATTGGGAATGAGAGAATGTCTGATGTACTAGAAGAATTAAATTTTATATAGAATTTTTTCTTACATCTGGTGTTCTTAATCTCTTTATTAAATTCCAGTATCAGTGTCATCTAGTGTTTGTGGCAGGAGTGTTTGCTGGATACTGCCTCTCTGTATTGAATGATCAAATGAGTTGGAAGAAGCCCATGAAGTCCTTCAGTTTGTAACTATGGGGATAGGAACAGAACTTGTTTCTTTTTCTTTTGTTTATCCATCTATTTGTCCATCCACCCTTCAAGACGTGTTTATATTTTGAAGACAGCTTAATTCCACTCTGAATTCTATTTTGTTTTTTCATTTATGAAGTTGCTACATGTTTTATTACAATTGCTGACTGGCTATAACCATAGGAAACTTAAGAATAAAAATTAAGAAACAAGAATAAAAATCTGTTATCTGAAAAAGAGTCATTAACCAGCCATTTTAACATTTGGTCAAGATTAAGCATCTATGTAAAGTATTAGTCATCTATGCTGCTTTTTAGACTGCTTTTTTCCTTCTTAATTGTTATGAGCTCAGAATAGCGTTCTTTAAGCCAAATGTATTGTTGGTATCACTTCAATGTGCTCTGGGCTCGGGTGCTTTAGAACTCGTTTGAAGATTTGCTTTATAGTTATGTGAAGTTTGTGAAATTATAAGCACAGCACAGTATTCTATAATAACTAGTTTGGGATGGCTGTAATGCCTAGTTAAAGTGGTTTAAGAATTTAGTTCACTATAAGGTCATAGATACCCGCCTTCAAAATGAATTGTAACAATGTGGAAAAGCAGAAAGCTGTGGATTTCATCTTCCTGCTGTGGGGCAGTTAGACTATCAAAGAAAGAATACTTTTGCATATATTTAGTACCAGAATATGACTAATGTGTGATGGAAAGATCAGTTCTACTACCCAGGTGCCTGCACCATACATTTCAGATTTTGAAGACGTATATCTTAAACAGTAATGTTATATTTATTTTATTCTGTCTAATGAATAATGTAGACTTAGCTATTGACATCAGCATAGCTACTAGTTGTCAATGTGGATATTTTGTATCCAATATGGTAATGGCATATCATAATTTGTGTTGATTGTGTACTGTTCCCCAATATTTTTCTTTCTCATGCACAATTTTTACTTATCCTAGTTTTCTCTTGTGTTATAAGGTATTTCAGAAACAGCCATGTGAAAAAATACTACAGTAAGCATGCTCAAAAAATATACTGAACTAAGGGTTATATTTATATACTTGCTGTTTAAAGAAAAAAAAAAAGGGAGGAGTGTATGTTCTCATATTTATTTTCTCTATTGAACTTCTCCTATATATTTAATACAGGCCTAAAAGGAAACTACTCAGCTAGGCTTTATAACTGTAGCATTTTCTTTTAATTTCCATAGGCATGTAGTCAGCTATGGAAGAAAGATGAGCTACAACACAGCTTTCTTTTATTTCCTTCTCTTCAAGATTTTGCATATCACAGGCACCAGATGTTTTCATTTGCAGCTTTACCATGTTCCACTTTTTGGTGTGCCATTAGACAGAAACTGAAATGGGAAGTTGTGAGAGGGAAGGGTGATGAAAGAAGCAGTTAGCAAGCACATAAAATGGAACTTCTTACAGAGATTAAATATAAATTAATTTATTATCTACTCAGCCTTAGATTAAAAAACATTTCGTATTTTAACAGCACAAAATCATATTGCGCCACCAAAATTTCTGCCAAATACCATGTTTATATAAAAATTGTGAAAGTAATTTTTTCTAATGTTAGTTTTGGTTTTATGATGATTAGGTTTATGCTTACAATTATGTCACACGGACCCGTGAAAAAGAACTGATTTTCACTTGGAGATGTACAGGGCATCTAACGTATATTTGAATACTTGATTTAGAAAGACAGGGCATCACTTGAATTCTTGAGGAAATTTGGTTAAAAATAGACAGCTCAACAGCTAAACTCATTATATTTTTTAAGTCCTAAGTCCTATATTTTTTAAGTTTAAAATGGAACTTGAGATTTATGGTTGTTTTTTAATTTGTCAGTGTAACTTTGACAGAAATATCCCTGCTGGTTCTAGCACCGTCATGTTGCTTCCTTATTATTGGTTATCTGTGGCAGAGTGTTGTGTTTTCCAGAAAATTTATCGTAATGTTTTCTTAAAACACTGTGATAAACTAGTGATGTTTTATGCTATACTGCCAGGCTTATTGAGGTAAGGCTCATGCAGAAGGGACATTTGTTCTCATTATTATATAATGTATTTTTTGTTCTCAAGCAAACTTAATTTGGAGATTTAAATCTGATGTCAGAAATCTACAAAGAAATACCTGTAGTGCTGGACGTGTGGTCACTTTGAGCTCGGAAAAAGGTGTTTCTTAGGAGTCATGCCATCCGATAAATATGGCTAAAGAGGAGAGAGCCTTAGATGTATAGTTGGTTAGAACTATGTCTGAGTACTAAAAAAAATATTCGAGAATATTTAAAAGAAGATATAGACTAAGGTCTTGAAGTCTCTAGCATTACAAAATGCTAACTCCTGAACAGAGTTGTTTCAACCTGGAAATACTCAGCTGTTCACCTTCCAGTTACTGTTTTGAGCAATATAGAAATGATTGTACTAAAAATAAATACATTTTAGATTGTTTTTCTCTCTCCTTAAACTGTTTTTGCCTTGGTGGCTTATTTTTATTTATTTTTTTTTTTCCCTGGTAACTTTTTCTTTAGATTCTTTTAGCGTTATGATACATACAGTCTTTACAAATTTTATTTCTAACTTTAAAAAATAAGTACAAAAGATAAACGCTGGAAACAGATGATCAGTTAGGCTTACCTATCTTTTTGTGTCTGAACAGGCTGATGCATACTCTTGAACACAACTATAGCATAAATTTGTTTTCAAACAGGAATTAATACTTGTCTTTTTAAGAAGTTATATGTGAGCTTGATGTAGATTCTTTTAAAAAGAAAAAAAATTAATTTTAATTAGTTGCACTCTATTTATTTTTCTAAACAATATGAAGTTACTTCTGTTAGTAATTAGCTTTTTCTGTTACGTACTGTACCTACAAACTTGTGTATGAAGTATCTTTCAAGATTTTTTAATACTATGGCAACACTTATTGATCAGATTTTTGTTGTTAATTTAGCAGTAAAAACAAATAGTGAAACAAACAGTGGTAGAACAAAGAAACCTGTGATAGAAGTAAATATAAAATGACCTCATTTCTTTAGCATAGTAAAATCGGTGCAAGAAATGTATACTGTAACTTGTTTTTCATGAAAACCTCTAATGTGGAAGCAAGAGAAATGTTTTCGGTGATCCATTTGGGCATTAAATAATATTGTCTTCATTTGCCAAAACAGGATTAGTGAGTAGATCTGACTAGGAATTTTCACATGACCTTATTTTTATATAGATAAAAGGGAACAAATTCCTTAAAGTCAAAGAAAGTTGAGAAAATAATATCTAAGAATCCAAGCAGGTAGAAAGCATTACTGTAAGGGTATTTTTTTCAGTGACTACCAGGCAAAAATAGCTTGCTGTCTTTCTTAAAAGGATGTATGCTAAGCATCAGGATTAGTAAAGCTTCTGGTAACTTAATAAGATCCACAGCAAAAGATAATTAAACATTAAAACAATTAATTTTGTTTTTTGACTGAGGTACAGTCTTAACAAAAGAAAATATAAAGTGGTGTTAAAGGTTGTTTAATTTTGATTAGAAGTTATGCATAAATCTATCTGAAGATAATGATTTGTAGACATATGTCTCATTATTAAAAACTATGGAAGTTTCTTGGTTTTGTTACATACAAAGCTATTTGTAAAGGCATCCTTTACTCTTCCTTGTATATTTATGACCTGACTTTCTATTAATCACAGTTTAATCCTCAGAAACACTGTGTTTATGGACCAAGTTTTCAAAACCAGAATTTCACTATATACGTTGGCCATCACTTTCATCTTCTGCTACTCTGGAAATTAATACTAATTAAAGCACCCATTAGTTTTTTTCCCAAACTCACTGTGTGGAAGGATTGTTGAATAATATCCATCTGTTAAAACAACATTTTTTCTTCATAATGCTTAAAACTTACATGACTATTTCTGAACAAATGATAAATGAGAAAAAATTTTGTAGGCTCGAATAGTTGCTTTACTGTTGCATAATGTGATACTATTTAAGCTGTTTTGATATGCCATCTTGAAAACAAGATGAAGTTTTGTTTACAACTGACACCTGGAATACTTGTACCTGTTGGAGAATTAATGTCCTGTATCATAGTCACAAGTTAATTTATAGTGAAAAAGAACCAACTACAATCTTTAACACTAACAGATATATGTATACAATTCATAGACATATGAAGGACCAAAACAAGAAGGTTGCAAATCTGAAGCACAATCAGCAAATGGAGAAAAAGAAGAATGCACAATTGTTGGAAGAAGTTCGTAGGAGAGAGGACAATATGACTGACAACTCTCAACATTTGCAAGTGAGTTTATTTTTCAGTTGTGCTTTAAAACTATCAAAGAAAATGCATTTGTTTTGCTGTGTGTCTTCCAGGGTGTATGATGAATCTCTTCTCACAAACAGCTGATGGCTCTCTCTCCTTTCCTACCAGAGGACGCTCTACTGATTTCAGTTGCATCCATGAAATATTTACTACTTTACATAATATGTATTTAATAAATACAATTTGAAGCCCTTGCCTCACAAGGACTGTATTTTACTTATTTAAAAGCAAGTAAGTAATTACAGCTTTTCTGAGGAGAGTCAGAAAATAGAAGGATAATCATCCTTTCTGGATTCTATTTCTGTGCTACTCACAGCATTATATCCACAGGGTATACTGAGATTATGTAGTGAGGTTATGGATGTTCAGGATGTTTGAATATAAAATAGTGTGTGCTGTGATAGTTGTTTTTTTTTTTTTTTTTTTAACTGGGTTGACTGGTTCTGGTTGGTTAGCTCTGTAAAATACGATATAGTTTTTCAGAGCATTCAGCTTTAAAAGAGAATTTCTGCCGTATTTTCCTGCATGAAGATTGAATGCAATGACATTTGAGGCATTAAGAGAAACTTCTTCACAGAAAGGGTTATCAAGTACTAGAACAGGCTGTCCAGGGAGGTGGCTGAGAGGCCACCGTGCCCCTGGATGTGTTTAAAAGCTGTGTAGATGTGGTGCCTGGGGATATGGCTTAGAAAAGGAATTTGGTAGAGTATGGTAGGAGTAGGGTTACTGTTTGGTCTTGATGATGTCAAAGGTCTTTTCCAAACAAAGTGATTCTGTGATTCTATGGTCAAGAGCACTGGTAGATGCAGTTATGATTTTGATTGGCCTGATATGGCTTATTTCAGGGTGATTTTGGTTTGAGGTTTTTGTATCTGGTCACATAAAACTATTTGATGTATTTGGCATAAAATAAACATTGACTCCTGTAATATTTAGCCTCAAACACCTGGGTGCGGGGGAGGAACACGCCTGCAGGTCTTAGTATGAGGCTATGTTTGTGAATGTTCTAGATTTGAACTTATGCGTGTGTTAAAAAAAACGTATGATGCAGTATGTAACAGGTAAACTTATTTTCTTCCCTATCAATCTAGGGTGTAATACGTTCTCCCCATTGACGTTCCTTTAGGGATGTGAACATATACAGAACTCAAATTGGGATATATGTGCTGACTAAATGAATACTTGGGAGTAGAATACTTGATCAATCTTGATATTAACTTTTGGTTTGTAAACAGTAGTTAATAAAATGCTGTAACAGTAGTGATCTAAGGATTGAAGTGAGGCAACCTTTGTGAGGAGATGCATGATGGAAGATATATTCTCTGGAAAACAGGTTTCTGGGAGTATTATGCATCTGCTAGTTAGAAAGAAAATTAGTTGCTATTTCAATAAATATTACATTAACATCTTAGTAAACCACAGGGATCTGATCACCTTTTCTTGTTACTGTTTATAATACCTTCTACTATGTTTAGTAGAAAAGCATTGTTTATGGATATTTATAACACATAGTGCTTGTGTCTGTAATATACTTGTTACATTTGTGAATGATGCATTGAGCTGTTAGGGTAAAGTATATCCTAAAATTTTCTGGTCTGAGCTAATGATTGTATTTGTTTGCTATCTATCTGTGATAAGCTGGCTGTTGGCAAGCTGTGATAAGCTCAGCTGAGAACTGAAGAGCAACTAGATAAGTCAAATTACATTTACTCCAGCAAAATCTCGATCCCTCTTGCAGAAGTACTGGAAAATGTGTAATAAAAAAGGAATTGTAATTAGTAATTGTCTATGGACCATTCAGGGCAAACTGAAGCAATCAGTTGAAGTGCCATCCATTTTGTACCCAGGTGAACTAGGAGCTGAAGCTTGACCCCTTCATCTGTCCACTTGCTTTCTGGTAGGTTTGAAGAAGTTCAGAAGTCTGTAGTTTGTTGGAAGCTTCAATAGTATGTAATAGTTCTGAGGCTTGTAGCATCATGAGTATGTGTGTTTGTGGCACTTCTCACTCTCTTTTCAGATAAAAGCCTCTCAAAGCTAGTTCAGATCCTAGCATGAGTGCTTGCAGGTCAAGTTTGAATCTCTGATGACCCCATCTTACAGCGCTCCAGGCCACTGCTCCGATGGAGAGTGCCCTGGGATGCTTGGGGAGGGAGTTTACTTTGGTCTCCCTCAGCTATAAATTGTGAGTGATGCTTCAGGTGTGGTTTTGGGGGGTTATTTGGATCACTTTAAAATTTGAAACATCAGGGAGACAGACTTCAGATTAATTATTTGGAATAAAGAATAGTTGTGAGGTTTCCACAAATCAAGGGCAGACTTGTGCAAATCTTCCCAGACGTGATGGTCATCTATTATGTAAAGTATCACAGCAGGAGAGCTGGCCCTTGAGCATTTTATCATGAATTTTTTTGGGAATGGTGTATCTAACATGTCTTCATTTTTCTTTCCTTTTTGTCTATCTTGAAAAGATAAGCCTTACTGAGAAACGAGCTAAGAAAGACACAGGTATCATGTCATAAAGTTGTGCTTAGTTCCTCAAACCTCTTTGAAGGATCTTGAAATGTTATAGATGTGAGACGTGTTTATTTCCTGAGATGTGTTTTTCTTGATTCTTGTACAGATAAGTGTTTGTTCCAATAACATTGTTTACTCAATAGAATTGAGAAAGAAAACATTTCCATAATATTAAGAACTTTGTGTGGGTTTGGTTTTGATTCTGATTTTCAAATCTCCTGTTATAACAACAGTCCTTTCTCTTCACTAAAGTAAATAATAAGAATGTGAATGTAATAATATGCCCATATGTCTCATACCATAGCCTCAAAGGAAGTCAAATGTACACTTTGGTCTGATCGTACTCTTCATAAATGTGAGGATCAATTTATTAGGTGATTAAACCTTATTTCCAGTAATACTTCTGTGTGCAAATTTTATACAAATTGCCTGATGCATACATGTCACAAGAAATGTCACAGTGATGAACTTGAAAACAGTCAGAAAGTTTAATAAACTAGTCTGCTGTAATCTACACAGCTTTTGTGAATTTCCACTTTTCCTTCTTGTTTAACTGCTGAAAAAAATTTTGACTCTCCTAATGTTTAAAAAGCTTTGGGTTATTTGTCACAAGTTCTTTTAGGTAGCTTGGATTTTCTTTGGGTGGAGATCCATGTGCTGAAAAGAGATATTTCACTTAAAATGTTGGTTTTGAGTATTTATCTCTGATTTAAAATAGCCTATAGAGGCAGCTTGATCAGTGCTTGAAGTCTGAAGTACTGTGAAACAAATTGTGTCTACTTGTATTTTCCAGGTGTAACTATCTTGCTTTTTAAACAGAGTCCAGTATGTCAGACTTGGTTTGTCCCTGGATGTACTGGGGCAAGGCAAGAATTCTAGCTTTTCAGTAGTTTCATACTGGCTGGAAACTTATTCTTGGGTAATGAATAAAACATAATCATGAGAAAGTCCTATCAAAAGAGAGAGAAAAACTGTGTAGTTAATATTGCCGCTGCCTGATTCTTTCCATTTGAATATCTTTGATATCTCACACACTAACAATAACTCCCATGAGATTTCACAGCTAATCAGTCTGAATCCTTAAACTTGGATTAGTTTATTTTCTCTCTGTGTTTCAGACTGTAATTTTCCTCTCCATAATGTTTCTAGAAATACAAAATATACTGAAGACATAGCACATTGCCTTATGTTATGTCTGTGTCTTTTAAGATAAAAGAGAAGCATGGCCTAAACAAGGGGTATACCTGACATTAATTTATTGTGATTTTTCTCTTAATGCAGTGTTTCCTACTGCATTGTCTCAAAAATTTTAAGACGATAATATTAATAAAAAGAGGAAGCTAGGGAATGAGATGAAGTCTTGCAAATAAAAATGAACAGAGCAGTGTAGTCAGTTAAGAGGCAGAGGAAACAGTCATGAGTGTTATGCAGACAGGCATTAGTGTATGTAGCTGACATAAGGCAGGAGAGAATTCATTGCATAAATACACAGCTTTGTATTTATTAGTGCTGAAATACATATGCGGTGACAAAACTCGACCTTTTAAGAGGTTAAAATCATAAGTTATGCATAAAAAGTGAATTCTTGTTTAAGCATGGATCCACAGGTGGAACTATGCCTCTCTGGAAGGCTTTAATACCAAGTGTTCAGGAGTTTCTGTCTTCAGAAAGATTGCTGTTTTGTGGGGGAAGATGGAGTGAAGATTGAGATTTTGCTTTTTACACCATTCCTCTCTGACTTCCACAATGTGCCAGTGTGAAATGCACACTGTTGTCCAGCTCTGATCAGTAGAATTCCTCTCTACCTCTCATTCAGTTGTGGGCAGAGGATAAGGGGTAATGAATGACTGCTCCTGATTTTTCTTTCTCAATATTATGAGCAGTCAGAGTACAGAAATGAAATATAATAGAGATACGTTTTTGGAAACATATACAGAGGCAAGAGAATGGGTAAGATGGCCTGCAATACTTGTGAAGATCTTATCTCTTGCTAAGATTTCTGCTATCACATACAAATATTTTGAAATAAAAGATGGGGTTTCTTTTGCAAGTGTGTTAAGAATCACCTTCAACAAGTCTTTCAGTCTTTGTGTAAATTAATAGAGAATCATAAGGTTTGGGAACCAGTTCAGTGGCAAATTCAGAAGATAGAGTAAGCTACAGCTAGAATGAAGTTCTCCCTTTGAAGCTCCCATGGATTTGTTTTTGGAAAATACAGAATGGAAACTTATTTTTATTATGATTGTAGTGAGTTAAACTTATTTTACCAGAACTTTTCTAGGTTTAAAGCAAAAGCTTAATGATGCACCTGACATTTAAGATTGAAGATTGTGATGATTTTGTGTTGTAGATATCCTATTGAATATTGTAGACCATGCAGAAATATTTTCAACAACCACCTTATTGCCAAAGTTTCACTTTTTTTTTTTTTTGACTGCATACATTTGTTGAAGCTGTTGCAAATA